AAACCTTAAACCCGAAACCCTAAAAAAAACTCCACAACCCCCATCGCCAGGAGGAAGGTTTTCGGGAGCTCCCTTCCGCCGAGGAGCTCTGACACGAAACGCCATCGTACCAGATACAAACCCAGAGAACCCACTACGGGGTTTAGGGTTTAGGGTTTCCAGGGAACCCATTACCCGCTTAATTAAGGAATGACCTTAAATCATAATATTAAGGCCCCTATAATTTAAGGTATATTGCTTAGTCAAGGGGCATTGGGCTCTCTGGGAAGTCTAGGGGTTCAGGGCCCGGGGTCTGCAGGGGGCCGGTTTCGGGTACATGCTATGTTTCGTAGGAATTGCCACGTCCCATGGTGGTATATAAACAATGTACCCAAATTACGTAATTGAAGCTCTTAGCCAAAGGCATTTGCTTTTCGTAATCAAAGCTGTTAGCTTAAGGCTTTTGGTTTTAGGCTGAGCCCAGAAGTCCTGACCGATTCGGGTCTGAGGCTTGTTGTGACGTGAACTGCAGCGTTCAAGACTCCGATCTGTTTTGAGTTAAGAGGGCCCCACCTGGGATAGCAGTAAGGTTCGTAATGCTGGCAGCAGGCACCATAGATCAGGAAATGCAAGTCATATGAAGCAGAGATCCTGATAAATATCTCAACTGCCCAGCAACTCCAAGACCCGTCAAGAAATAATAAAGTACATTCAACGCTACAGGATGCGTGTGATTATTACTTAGCTCCGGAGTTTGGGAATTCCTGGCTAGGATCCCGGAATTTCTGAGCAACCTCTTTGGTCATGGTGCGAATGTTTCCGCCTGCCCACAAAACCTAAACCCTAAAACCTAACACGGCCACCAGAAAAAAGCTGCATACTACTACGATAGGGGCTCGAATGATTAGAATATGGTTTCGGGCTATGTTAGACTATAACCATAGTCTCCAAAATAGCATTGATAATTATTTAGGCCCCGATATTACCCCTAAACCCTGAACCCTAAACCCTAAACCCTGAACCCTAAACCCTAAACCCTAAACCCTAAACCCTGAACCCTGAACTACCCTAAACCCTAAACCCCTGGAGGATGCAGACAAGTGGCGGCAGTCCCTAAGGCGCTGGTTTCCGCCGAAAGACAGCCACCTCTGCGTAGGTAGATTCTTCTAATTAACCCAAGGAGCCCTTTAATTAAGGAATATACCTTAAATTTTAGGGGCCTCAACATTATGTTTTAGGGCCTTAAACCCTAAACCCTAAACCCTAAACCCTAATTTAAGGTATATTCCTTAATTAAGGGGTATTGGCTTCCCTGGGGACAACCACCTCTGCATAGGTACGTCTTCTAATTGGGTAGTTCTCTAAGTTAGGGTCCCTTTTTTGGCCCCCAATATAGTACGGCACCCTTATAAAAAAGGACCCCAAAAGGGACCCTAATTTCGAAAGCTACCCAATTAAGGTCCCTTTCAGGCTCCTTCTACAAGGATGCCGGAGTATGTTAGGGACGGAAGCTGACCTGATTTAGAGAACTACCCACATATGCCAGGTCTCTAAACCCTACACACCCTTTATCCTAAACCCTAAACCCTAAACTCTAAACCCTAAACCCTAAACCCTAAACCGAACCCTAAGACCGTGAACACGAAGGTGCAATAATGGGTTGATGGAGCGTCTGCATTCGAAATATCGGGAATGTCCTGGGGAATTCAGGCTTCGTGCTTCGTTGGATTCCACTATACCTCAACTGGTGGATACTGGAGGTGGTGGTTTGGGTTCATACATATATACACACATAGACATATATATATATATACATATATATATGTATATATATATATATAGATGTACACATATATATATATATATAACAAGTATATAGAAAGGGTCCAAAGTTTCTGCTTGAATCGAAAACCAGCACTGCCTGAATTTGAACACTAAAGGACAAGGCCAAAGGCTGAAGACGCAGGCCTCCACTCTCAAAGCCGTACTGCCTGAAACCCTGTCTAGTGGCGAATACAGAGGTCGAAATCATTAGTACCAGTATCCCCGTATAGTCCCTAGGGAACTATATCATGATGCCGTAGACCCTAAACCCTAAGGAACCCTGTGATGGACCTGAAAACCCAATTCTATTTATTCAGCCCCTTAGGTGAGGTTCGGGGTTGATGCCGGATGAAAACGTAAAGATCTGGGATGCTTTATGCAGCGCCTTTGTGCAGCGCTTGAAGAGTCCACGAAAAAGTCTCTACAGTCGGAAGTTATAACCCACATGGCTTTTCCAAAAGTGATGGCTAGGAGTCTGCTATTTAGGACTAGTCACCACTAGTCTTGGGGGTTTGTCCATGCGTGTAAAGCACAGCATCAATTATTATGGCCCTCACAGTCGACATTGGCTACAACATCCAGAGAACCCAATACCCCTTAATTAAGGAATATACCTTAAATTATAAGATTAAGGCCCCTATGATTTAAGGTATATTCCTTAGTTGACCCTAAACCCTAAGCCCTAAACCCGAAACCTTAAACCCTAAACCCGAAACCTTAAACCCCAAACCCTTAGTTAAGGGGTATTGGGCTCTCAGAGCCCTAAGCAATATACTTTAAATAGTAACATTAAGACCCTGTCATTTAAGGTATATTGCTTAGTCAAGGGGTATTGGGCTCTCAGAGCAGGCATTTCCTCGACCTGCTCAAGCGTGCGCCGAAGCCGACGGCCGCCCCGAAGCGCAAAGCCCTTGCACCCCCGAGTTCCGAGGTGCGCGGAAGGTTTAGGGGTTTAGGGTTTAGGGTTTAGGGGTTTAGGGTTTTGGGTTTTGGGGTTTACGGTTTAGGGTTTAGGGTTTAGGGTTCAGGGAAGGGTTTGAAGCCTACGGTTTGGATGGGTCGCAGGTGTAGGTTCAATTTACCATGGGGGCCTCAATCACTACCTATACTATTTTGGGGGGTTCCTTATTATATTTAGAATGGGCTCCAAGCACTTATTCTAACTATTAACCTCCCTACATTACATGGGTCGCGTGTGCGGGTTTAATTTATGGTGTTGCAGGACAGTCTTCTTCGTTCAGGATTTTGCGGTGTATGAGGCGTCATTTTATCTCGTCTGCTTGCTTGGTGAAGCTTTATGTTTAGGTCTTGTTTTCGAAACTTCCTTCGGAACTTCCTTTTGGGGCTAAATGCTTACCTGTGACCCCAAACCCTACAAAATAGTAGGTTATGACTCCTTAGTTAGAGGGTAGAACCCTTAAAACGGTAGGTTTTTGGGGTAACTCTTACATGAGGCTTTTAATTTTAGGCTGCAGTGTTGAGAGACTTAGGCACACAGGGTTTAGGGTTTAGGGTTTAGGGTTTAGGGTTCAGGCCCAGCTCCGGATTCTCTGGTTAATCGTCTGTCTGGTGCTTAGTAGGGAACGGGGGAATGGATCCCTATGATAGTCCGTTAAGGTCCCTTATAGTAGTCCCTATAGCCCTAAACCCTAAACCCTAAACCCTAAACCCCATTCCCCCATTCCCTACTAAGCACCAGACAGTCGTAGGTCAGTCACGGTGGCCTTTAATGAGGAATTGCCAGGCCTCCCACCTGCCCTGGCCCTTGTTACCGAGATTCTCTCAGTTTGGCTGTAATTTAGGGGCCTCAAGAATTACCTACATTATTTTGGGGTTCCTTATTATAACTTTACTACAAAGAACCCCAAAACCCTATTTTAATTATTAAGGCCTCTATATTAGCCTTCGATACGAGCACGCTGCTGCTCGAGGCGTCGAACTATCGTTTCAATATTCTTCTTCTCCTCGGCAAAGTCCAGATGGTTTCAAAAGCCAGCGTAGCTGGCTTTGGCGTTCTTCAAAGCCGCATACATGCTGCCTTCATTTAACTTGCCTTGTCGGCATTCGCAGGGTCATGTACCACTAACCCCTAAACCCAATTGACAGGGATGCAGGGTTTCAATATTCATGTCTGTCATGGGCTCTAGGGCAACAATCTGGCGCAAGGTTTACCCACCCTAAACCCTAAACCCTAAACCCTTAACCCTAAAACTAGCTGGTGAAACCGCGAGCTTTAAATCCAAAACCGAGAGTTAGACCCAACGGCCTTTAGTCATGAGATCCTTAAGGGAGGATAGTTCAACGAGTGAAGGTACCCTAGAAGCCTATACATATATAACTACACTGCAATATTATTTTGGTGGCTCCTTATCAAAAATTATAGTATACTTAGTCCCAAAATACCCTATTCGAATTAGTTATTCAGGCCCCTATAGTACCAGAGATCCTTAGGGAATCCGGAACATCATTGCGTACTGTGGGATGCTCTGGGGTTGCTAACCTGTCGTCACATGCCCGGGGCTTCAAGAGCTTCAAGCAACGCCCTCAACCCTACACCCGAAACACATCAAGCAAGAAGAAGCCAGAAGGCCTCATACTCCAAAACGCATCGTCTTGCACCCTCCCTAAACTTTCAACCCCCAAAAGCCCGTAAGCTCTACGCAAAACATGAAGCACCCTTAACCATGAACCCTGAATCGCTAAAGACCTAAACCCCAAGCCCTAAATCCTAAAACCACCTGCACCCTAAACCCTGAAACCCTCAATCCCTAAACCACCAAATCATTAGTTGGAGGTTCATGGGTAGTTATAAGTAAGGTTGTCAGTCCCCTAATATGGGTTATGATTATAGTTACCTTACTTACAACCCCACTTATAACTACCCATGAACCTCCAAGTAAACCCAAAAGCTCCTAAACTCCTAAACCAAAAACCCTCAACTCCAAACACCTAAACCCTAAACCCTTCACTCCTAACCCCTAAACCCTAAACCCTTAAACTCCTAACCCCTGAACCCTTAACTCCTAAACTCCTAAACCCTGAACCCTCAATCCCTAAACCCCTCAACCATAAATCCTCAAAGGGTCAGGGTCTAGGGTTGAGGTTTCTAAACCATAAACCCCTAACCCCTGAAAACCCTATAAAGCCTAAACCTCTCTTCTTCAACAACCAGGCCCAACAAAGTTCAAACTTTTTAGGATAGACCAAATATATAAGGCCAAAAAGTTTAAAGTTCCCCTATTGGCTAACTAAGAAAGCCTAAAACCCCTAAACCCTAAAACCCTAAACCCTAAACCCTAACCCTGTAAGCCTAAACCTTAAACCCTAAACCCTTAAGCCTGAAGCCTAAACCGACTCGCGGCTCAGCCAAGGCACTGCCTCGCTGCTTTGGCCGAAAGCGCCGCAGACCTCCTCCGGTGCTCTGCCTGTGCCACCCAGAGAGCCCAATTAGGGTTTAGGGTTTAGGGTTTAGGGTTTAGGGTAATTACCCCTTAATTAAGGAATGGACCTTCAACTATAGGGGCCTTAATAGATTGGTTTAAGGCATAAATTTAGGAATCGTGCTTGAGCCATTATACTAAGACCCGTATAAGTTAAGGTCTATTACTTAATTGAGGGGTGTTGCAGGTCTGGGACGTGTTGGGTTAAGGGCTTCGGGTGCTTAGCGCAAGTTTTGAGTCCAGGGGCGTAGGTTTAGGGTTGAGGGTTTACTGCGGGGCTTTCGATGTTTGTGAGGGCTCTGTTCCGACCGTGTACATTACCAGGATGAGCCAGTGGTTGGGGCGTGGTGTAGAGTTTAAGGTTGGGGATTGGGGAGAGATGCCTAGGGGGCCCTGGCATCATCAGCGCCTTCAATGACATCCAGCATAAGCCGCAAGTTGCAAAGGAAGGCGATTCTCATAAAGGTTTAGTAACGTTTCTTAGCAGGGAATAGAAGCCCTGCCATGCCGTGTGCACTCTGCCTGACGTCTCCAAGCATTTATCCTGTTAGGCTTTGGGGTTTAAGGTGCAAAACAACCCTAAACCCTGAAACCCTAAAACCTTAAACCCTAAAACCCTAAACCCTAAACCCTAAAACCCTAAACCCTGAAACCCTAACCCTAAACCCCTGAACCCTAAACCCTAAAACCCTAAAACCCTGAACTCTACGGCCTCCATCCCGGCGGCTCAATTGCCTGGACCCTCAAGTGTAGCTGCTAGCTCCACTTGGGCAGTTCTCTAAATTCGGGTCCCTTTTGGGATCCTTTCTAAAAGGGTGCCGTACTATATTGGGAGACCTGAAGGGGGACCCTAATTTAGAGAACTAGCCATTTGATGGTTTCCCTAAAGTAGGGGCCTTTAGGGTTTCGGGGCCCAGTATACTTTACTTATACTCAGAGCCCCTATACTACCCGTTTAGTCAAGGACCCGAGCAATAACATAGGCCGTCAAGCAAAGGCCCTACACTTCAAGGTTTGGCTAGTGATGAACATTACGCCAAAAGACGCAGCGCTTACCGCTGAACGCTGAAATACGCAGCCCGCAGCTTGACTCCATAAAATGAGGGCTAGCGTCGTGCGTTCAACCTCGACAGTGACGGTTGGAAAATGTAGACAGATCTTGCAGGGCCCGAAACCGTAAACCCTAAACCCTAAACCCTAAACCCTAAACCCCTAAACCCCTAAACCCTAAACCAGGAAGAGGTAGGGTTCCAAAGACTCAAGAAGCAACCCCAGGTGTAAGTTTATCAAGACCAAGATGCTCTGGCTGACGGAGTCGAAAATGCCACAAACATCCCTTAGAATCACTGGTTACTTGGAGGGTCAGAAGACTTAGTAGATGGTTAATTTGTAGACTTGAAAGTACTATAATTCCAACTAGGGTCCCTTTTAGGATACTTATAAAGTCTACGTATTACCTACTTACTAAGTCTCCCGACCCTCCAAGTACGATTCAGGTTCTAGGGTTGATAGGTTTCGGGCTTTCATGACTTATGGCTTCAGGCATGAGGGCTTGGGGAGTTTACCTAAACATCATCGCTTCGCGTGGCTTAGGCTCTCTATTCACGGAATGGCCGGTGATACGTGGCATCCTTGCAGCTTTTCACGGTGACTGTCCGTCATGCTTTCCAGTTCCTATACACGCGAGAGGGTCATACTTACCAAGCAAACCCCAGCTTAACCCGAAATCAGAAGATCCCTGCCGCACTATCCTAAACTAATCTAAACCCTAAACCCTAAACCCTAAACGAGAAGCCCTAAATACCGCTGCTATCTTGAACCTCCGTGAACGGCGAGAGATCTCCTGGAGGACGCCTTTTTAAGCTTCTTAACTTCGGCCCGGAACCCTCAACACTGTTACGTAACATAGGGGCCTTGATAATTAGAATTGGCATGTGGTGTACATTGTAGTAGCATCATAGAGCGGAACCCTACGGAATACTATTGCAACTGGTAATTATTCAGGCTTCTACAGTAGACACTGAGCCCTGCCTGTATCATAGACCCTAAACCCTAATCACCTGGGTTCTAAGGACCGGGGTTACTTGGAGGTTCATGGGTAGTTATGGGGTTATAAGTCCCTCAGAATATGGGTTATAATGACAGTTACCCTACTTATAGCCCCACTTATAACTACCCAAAAACCTCCAACCCTAAACCCTAGACCCTAAACCCTAAAACCCTAAACCCTAAACCCTACTTATAGCCCCACTTATAACTACCCAAAAACCTCCAACCCTAAACCCTAGACCCTAAACCCTAAAACCCTAAACCCTAAACCCTACTTATAGCCCCACTTATAACTACCCATGAACCTCCAAGTAGATGATGAAAGACTGCACGGGACCTGGGGGTCTGGCACTAGGTCTTGTTTTTAGGGTTTAGGGTTTAGGGTTTAGGGCCAGTTTAGGGTTTAGGGTTGAGAGGGATGCGAATGCTTGCTCCTCCTCTGCCTCTTTTGCCTGGGTATGTCTTAGCATTAGCTGCAAGATCTTATGGGTTTTCCGGCATATGGTGGGGGGGTACGGGCTCCTTAGCACCCTATGACCCTACGACTTGATGTCAACCCACCTACCTTCCACCATGGCACAACAAATCATTGCATGCTCCAAGAATAAAATCGCAGGAGCAAAGCGCTTGCTTGTTGTTCCCAGGGCGAAGGAAGGAATAAGTAAAGGCGAGGCGCACGGCCAACTCGTCGATAGCCTCGCAAGTACCCTAATACCAAGAACCTCAAGCTCGGTTTAGGGTTTATGTAGGGAGTTTAAGGTTCGTGTTGCAGACATGAATAATAAAATGCTGCAGGCTTGCTCAAGAAACGGTGCTGTGGTGTTATCGTGATTGTCGCCGTGATGATGATGGTGGTGCCCACAAGCGAGCTCACGACAAGCGAGCTTATGGTGGCGATGATATGACAAGTGGTGGGTGGTGGTGATGATGGTAGCAGTGTGCTGCTGGAGGTCCTGGTGGTGCCGGTACTGGTGCTGGTGCTGGCGCTGGCGGCG